TTTTTTTTTGTAGGAAATCTGATTTGAAGTGATTTAATCTCAATTAGGATTTGTTTTACGTCAAATTCCTATTTTATTTTAAAGAGTAAGCAAATATTGGGGAGCTACAGAGTAAAACCTGCTGAAAACAATGCGAGTCACCTGCATATGATGTACTCTCATGAGCTTAATCATCATCACTGAGTTGCAGTGGATGAGGTAACTCCCCCCAAAACGAATTCAGGTAACATATTTTCGGGTCCCACGCTGCCTAGAAATGCACTTTACACACAGAAATTAGTTACTGATTCGACAAGGCTGGGGATTTATAATAGGAATGACAGAAAATATCGATAAATTGATGCTTATTTGATATTTGAAGCGAAATTTGATTTATGTATAAATATAAATATAAATCTATATTTAAATGTGGCGTTATATGTGCAAAAAACATATAGTTTGTTTTATTTAACCAAAAAAAAGACGGCTTCCCAAAGTTAGTTTGCTTTCTTATTTAATATTAATATTTACAATATTTAAAAATTAGAAAATATCAAAATTTCGATATAATATTGAGACCGATAATTCTCGATTATTATATCGATATATTAGACAGCTCTAACCCCATCTATTGACCAATCTGTGTGTTATTTTTGGGTCTCCAATTTGTCATAGCCGCCAAAGTGTGTAAGCTTAATTTAAGCATTTCTTTCTGCCTATTACCTCACCATCGAACTCTCCTCTTTCCGATCTTCGTCGATCTGCGCTTTCTCATGCAAATATATTCACATATGTATATGTATCGATTCGATCGGGTGGCTTTATCAATAAACCTAAGCATTTTACGATCAATTTGGAGATGGTCTTTTTGATGCGGCCTTTATGCATTATGCAAAATGATTCCCATTCTGAATCCGCGCCATAAAAATTCCGATTTTGTAAGCGAGACACAGTCTGTGTCAAATATAATTGCACTTGGTTTTAATTTTGGATTTCTGCTTCTTTTGTTGGCCAAAAAAAAAAGAGAAGAAATAACAGACACAGAAATGAACAAAAACAGAAAGAAAAAAATCCATTGCAATTGCAGTTGAACAACTTTACGCTCCATTCAGCATTAAAATTACTTTGTGCCACTTTCAAAGCTATTTCTACTGCCACAAAAGCAACAGCTTCTTCTGCTGCTTCTTCGGCCACCTCCTCCTCCTCCTCCTCCTGTTGCCAGCCTGTTGATTGTTTTCAGTGTTTTTATTTTTATTATTACTTTTTTCCGCCGATTTGCAACCATTCGGACTGCATTTTTATGGTTTTTTTTTTCTAGTTGGCAATGGTCAAATGGAACACTGAAACAGGTGGGATTAGCCCACAAGTGACGGGAACCAGGGGGGTTCTGGGGTAATTCTGCAAAAGTCACGAATGTCACGCATCAAATGGGACAGAAGGAAAAAAGAGTGAAATAAAGATTTTAAAAAAGAGTGAAAAAATAGTGTGAAAAGAGTGTAAAAAGAGCGAAAAAAAGCAAACAATTATAAGAATCTAGGAATGCAATGACATGGAACCTAAGGAAATGGAATAACGGTAATTCGAGCAGGATCGGATGGGTTAGACATTTTTTAGGATATGTTTTTTAGGAAAAAAAAAATCCTAGATATTATTCTTTTTTGATAGACCTTCAATAACGGTATAAAAATTATCGAACAAATAAAAATCGAATCGAATGCAATGGAATCCGAATGCAATGGAATAGAACGGAAAGGAAAACAAATAAAAAAGGGATTTATTTTGGTTATAAATATTTCTTTTGAATCAATTTATAAAAAATTATTAACGATAATTAAAATAATCCTAAGGATGATTACCCTCATCGAATGTATCGATATAGGAAATTAATCGAGCGAATTAAGATTATCGGATTTACCGAAAAAAAAGGAAAAGGAAACCGAGACTAGGTATAGCAGAAAATATATTTAAAAGTAAAATTCTATATTTATCTACCTTATTAATATTTTTCCTTGGCCATTGAAAGCTTTAGTTCTTTCAATAGATTATATAATTCCAGATATTCTATTTTCTTTCAATTTCTATATATAACTTCCATTATATCTTATCGATATTTCTATTGGCCAGTTAAAAATTCACAGCAAAAATTAGCTGCATTGTTTCGTTGGCCAGCAATTCAACGCCAACAATGCCAACAACTAATTTCCATGGCATATATATTATATTATATATTTTTGTATTCTCCCCCCATTAACACCACCTGCTGCTGCCTACCGCCTCACCTGACTCAGCTGGCAACTTACTGAGCTTTGGCACGTCAACTTCGTGTTGTTGGAATAAAATCGAAAACACTTTCAATATAATTGCAAAAAAAAAAATAATAATATTTGAAATCATTTTCGTTTCAAGCGCTTTCCTTTCTTGGCTCGGGGTGATCTGCGTATGCCCCGGGAATTTTAATCATATTTCTCTCTTTCTGTACACGCTTAATTATTATTTGTTTTTGTCGGTCTGTCGGTTTTTATTTCGCATTTTCTCATTCGGCGGCAATGCCACCAATTTGGTTTCCACTTCGATTCGATTAACAAAAGCCAGTCGAGAGGAAGGATTCAAGCTGAACTGGGTAATACCCTCGGAAGGAGTTTAAAATATGAAATTAATTAATTTATCGCACATTTATCGCATGTATAAAGTTAAAATATCGATTTATCGAAGCAGTTAAAATTGTTTGATGTTTTCTGACATTCCTAATTTAGATATTAGGATAGTATATAATATTTATGGTTTATTTTAAATTAAATTTAAAGTTAAATTATAGATGTATCGACTATTGTGTGCAATATCAAAAAGTTAGATTTTTTCGATATTTTTTGCGTTCTTGCTATTGATATTCTGACGGTATATTTTTTTTTAGTTTTGGTTTCTTTTAATTAATATTTTATGAGAGCTTTTAGTATTCAAAACCAAGCTCAGCTTGAGCTACCTTTAACTATTGCATTTAAAAATGATAATAGTCTGGAAATTAAATTTGTTTTCATTGTTTTCATTTCTTCCTTGCCTTGTTAAGCCAAAAATATTCCCATTATAGTTAGAGTATTTCTTTTATCGCAGTTAATTTGCTTGTTGTTGCCTCTTTTCTTGGCTTAATTTTGGGTTTTGGATTGTAAACATTTTGATTTGATTGGCTTGGCTAGAAGGCGAGTGGGTAGAGGATAGTGGGGATTGGGTTGGATCGATTCCGGGCATTTGCCTGTCTTGCCTTTTCCGCCAATTATTATGACCAAAGTCGTTTAGCTTAGTTTAAGTTTTTTGCAATTTAACGCCGAGGATCTCGCTGGTTTAGGGCCAAGTTAGCTCTATGTACGCTTTCACTTTTGACCTGACCAGGATCAATATTTTGCTTTTCCCCTTCGCTTGGTGGTTAGGAGGAGGACCACACCCAGTTAGCTGGAGAAACAAACAGCAGACCAAATAAGTAGAGAGATGCCAGAGCATCTTTCTATCTCGCTGGAGATCTACCTACCTGCCTCAGGTGTGGCTAATGGCTCCGTCTCCCCCATTCCCCACTCTCCACCACACTTCTAATGCCATTCACTCGAGCACAGAGCACATAAAAATAAAGAACAAGAAATAAAGAGAGAAGATAGAAAAAAACTTGAAAAAAAGGGCAAGATCGACTTGGGATTGCTCTAGGGAAGCTGAGCTTACTGGTTAATAAATATTTATGATAAAAATAAAACAAATATTTAAGGTTTATTATAGAAAACTATTAAAAACCATAGCATCTGAGGCATTCTGTAATACCAAGTACTTTTAGACTCTTCTTCTGTACCTAAGAACCCTTAAAATGTTAGGGTATTCATCTTTCCTGGCTTTCAATTAGCCTGCTTGAAGTCACTCCAACTCGAGTGGGCCATAAAGCAACATGTATATAGTGAGATAAGTGAAGTCAAATCAAGTCAAAAGCCAGCACAAGAAAGACAAAAGACTGTGTCGTGAAGAAGAGCTTGCTCTTTGATGTCTAAATTGCCAGGCAGAACCCCAAAAATCCCGAAAGCAACAAAAAACAAGCCACTTGTGAGTCTGTAAGCGAATCTCATCGACATGTTTTTGAGCAATGACCTCAAGTTGAGGTTGCCTGGAATTTTGGGAATGTTTGACAACAAAAGGGAACTGGGCTACGGGATTCTGAATGACAGTTAAACGGAGATTCTGACCTTGTCTTTATTATCTTCGGTTTCATATCGAGAATCTGTGATTTAACGACAATAAAGTAACGTTAATGTTGTTTTACCGAAATTGAAATTATAAAAAAATAGCGCATTTAACTTTAAAAAATCGATTTTATCGAAAAATAACCGATAAGTATTTTTTTTTCGATATTTATCTATGTTTATTGATCTTATTGGTGCGATATTGACTTCAGTAGTGACTTATATACTGATTTTATCGAAAACTATTTGATCAGCGTTTTTTATCGATCATATTGGTGGAATATATCTAACAAAATATTGATTTATTACAAAGTCACATATCGAAGTGATTGAAAAGTATACGAAAAGCGTTTTTAAATTGATTAGTATGATATATCAAACATAATATAGATTTATCGACTTTATACCAAAAAATTTCGATAAAATATTGATATATATATATTTATTTCCTGACATTCCCCCTCTATTTAGTCAAGAACCCAGGCTTGAAATTGTCTCGTGTCTCGCTTAATTATATATCTGTCGCTTTGTTGTCTTTCGGCGCGTTTAAATGGAGATTGATGGCTGCCGACGCCAAGTCAAGCCAAGAAGAAAGATTAGATCTTTTAAAGATCTGCTTGGTATGCTAATTACCAAATTCCTCAATCGATAACTAGACACACTCGATAGCCAACTATTTGAAAGCCACGCTCTGGCTCTGGCATTGAGTTTGCGAGCTTTCGGACCCGTTCCGGCGACGGAGTCTGCTTAAAACTAGTCTTGCAGCCCATAACCACCAATATTGAAACTATAAATGGACTATCAACTCACCTTTTTCAATGTTTCCAATTTTAAATTTATGCTTTTTGTGGGCTAAAAACAAAAATAATCAATAATATATGAATATTACAACTTTGTTATATAAACCATAAAAAAATGTGTAAAAAATAAACACGCAAAATTAAGATAGGGATCTTGTTTATATATATTATTATCTCGCTTATATCTTGATATTTTCAAGTTTCGAGATTGATTTCGATTTTATTTTATTTTTCGGTTTAGCAGTTTTCGGTTGTTTCGTTTTTTATTTTTCGATTTGTAGTTTTCAGTTTTCGGTTTTGGTTTTGGTTTTGGTTTACCGATTTCACGCACAGTTTCGGCCTTAAGACAGAGAGGGTGCTACACTGGGCTTGTCTCTCTCTCTTTCTTCTACTGTTTCTCGCTAGCTTTTCTTCGCTCTTTCTCCGGCGACTGCGACTTCGTTGTCTGAGCTCGAACCGAAGACTGGCTTGGCTTGATTTTCGGCTCGCTTGAGTCTCGTCGCTCAGCCGAAGTCTCGCACGAAAACCCGAAGTCGCCGCCAGCCGAAGTCTTTTCGAAGTTCGTCAAGTGCTTCGTGTTTGGAACAGGCGACAAAATGTCAAACGATCGTGGCTTTTCTTGGGAATCCTCTTTTTGGAATTCGAGTTTCGGCGACTGGTTTTTTAGGAGCTGTAACTTGTAGTAACTTGGAGCCTTAAGGTAAAAGTTTTCTACAAACTTTAATTGTTGAAAAATAATAAAAAAAAAGCTAGAAGTTGTCGAAGATTTTAAGAGAGTTGAGTGATTTATTACTTGGAATATTTAGCTTTTGAATTTGACAAACTTTAATTGTTGAAATATAAAAAGAAAGCCTGAAGACTTCGAATATTTATTGTTATTATATTTATTTTATTTTTTGTTATAAACAATTCTAAAGAATTGTGAAAACAGTTAAAAAACTGCTCACCTTATTAAGATTCTCCGACTTACTTGGAAATTGCCTGAGGAATTGCTTTAAGAAACCATGAATTAGCTCAGTCTTCCTGTTCGTAGCCCGGACTCCCGTTGCAGCATCATCTTTAATGACTCCTTTCTCTCTGCACTATCTTTTCTTTCTGACCATTTCTTACTTATTAGCCATTTTCCACAGACAGGCCGCTTTAATTGGATTATTTGGGAAATTAAAGACCTGGAAATGGAGAAGAATATGGCCAGATGGAATGCAGAAAATTGGGATATAAACCAAACGGGATTGGTAGCCACTAAAGAATGGGAACAAAAAACAATGACCAAAAGCCTGGTGGAAAACCTGCAAGGCAAGAAAAACTTTCTGCAAGGCGAAAGAGGGGGGAAAAACTAAGGGAGGGGAGAAAAGCAAGACTTCAATTGCAATTGACCGAAAAACCAGTTGATGTTATTTAAGGAAAAACGTTCGAACTGAGAAGAAATATGCACTGAAAATAATAAAGGAGGGTAAATTGAAGATAACTTCCTTTTGTGTTGTCATATTCTTTCATTTTTTTTTCTAACTGTGCCTGGAAAAATCCAATCTCTTTTTCTTCCGTCTCCAATCGATCGCCGAGGAAGAGCTGTTTCCAAGCGGAGTTACCATTTTGGTTAAGGCGCTCGATGAAAAACGCAAAAAGCTAAACTAGTTTTTCCAGTAAAAGACTCTCAAAGTTCGAGGAGGAATCTGGCCTCATCTGCAGCTGCCTTTGGGGACAGAAGACAAGAGTAGAATATCGCAGAATTGTTGTCAAGAATCTGGGAGGCAAGAACCGAACCGATCAATAACCTTTTCATCAAGAAAAACCCACTGGAGGGCAACGACAATGATGAGAAAATAGCTTTGAAATTCATATATATATATTCAAATATTTCCTTATAAGTAAATCTTACTTTAATATTACCAAGAAATATCTCCTACTTCCTCTATTTTTGTCTGGAAAATGGGAAAAATCTCATGAGGATTCCGCTTTGACTCCGAAGAGCCAAAGAAAGCATGAAATTGCTTGTAAATATCTTTCACCCATTGCAAAAGTTGTTTTGGCATTTTTTTTAAACATGTTTAGTTTGTTGTTTTCCTTTTTTTACTTGTTTACATTTTTTTCGCAGGCACAACTCACGTCAAAAAAAAAAAGAAACAGGTTTTTTCATTCAATATATATACAGTCGTTGCCAGATAATTAGCAGCAAGACTAGGGTGGTTGTATTTGCATTGTTTAACAAATCGAAGCGATTATTTTTTAAGGTCAGGATATAACTAATATATTTTAAAAATTATAAAAAATAAACTATAAAGGTTTGTATACCCGTGCGGTGTTGAGATTCAATTACCCTTTTAGAAATAAAAATAAAAACTAACAGGAAAATATATAAAAAAAATAAAGGCAACCCTCTTCCAGCAATTTCTAGATCCCCCAAATCGCCCAAAAAGTTCATTATCTCCCATTTCTTTATTAAATAACTCTTTGGTGCTTGCACTTTTTGGGTCATTTTTTTATTCGATAGAATTATGGCTTATAGGGTTCGGTCTTTAATCGTTATTAATTAGGTAATTATTTAATTTAATTATGTTTAAAGTGATGTTTTCTGTTTACATTGCAATGGGGGACTGCATATATATAATTAATTAATTAATTTGTAATCTCTGCTCTCTCGTTTTTTCGTTAAGTATTTGGTTATTGCAAACTCTCGCATATATATATAGTAGATATAATGCTATAATGCTTAGACATAGGCATATGTATATTACGATATTATAGCTATGAGTATCCAGCCCAGAATTGAACTATTTATAGAGCCACAAAAAAATACAAGATAGAAACAAAAAGATCACTTACACTCACAAAAAAAAGAGTACAATTACAGAGTCAAAGAGTTAATTATAATTAATAGATAATTTCCTACGCGAAGACTAGACTGATTGATCGCTTTTTACAGAGTACGCTCTCTCTCTCTCTCTCTCTTGATTCTCTCTCATGACTAGAGAGTCGGGCTTATCCTTGGCCCGGACTCGGGGAGAGCTGTGGCCTTATTGCCCAGGGAGAACAGCCAGGTCACTCGCTCAGTCCCGGCGAGATCATGCCGTCTATGGGCTCCAGCTATTGTTCCATTATAATCGTATCCTCGGTCTTGACATTACCCGAATTGATGGCCTCCATGGCTTTGCTGAGCAGCGTGGCATCCTTCAAGCTAACCACTTGGACCAGCTGGGGCTCCTGGCCGGGACCGCCTTGGATCATCATTTGATGCATGCCCGGTGACATGGTAATGGTTTCCAATTGATCGCCGTTTTCCACCTGAGGAAAGAAAAGAAATTGAAGAGATTAAAAAAAGGTTTTTTCTTAGGGTAACTTTCAGTACTCTCTGGAAATAGGTTTACCCCTGAACACTAGCATCATTTATGTAGCTGGAAAAAAATAAATTAAAGGGCATACAACGTAAATTTAAATTATAAATAATTATAGCTTTAAAATACTTACTTTTGGGAGCTAAAAAACTAAAAAATAAATAAATAAAAGTTAAGAAAAATCAAGGAAATCCCCAACTATTACTTACTTTTCTTTACATAAAATCAATAAAAAATGTAATAAAATAAATAATTTTTAGAATTATAATACTTACTTTTTTGAGCTAAAAAATAAAATAAATGTGAATAAAAGTTAAGGAAAATAAAGGAAATCTCTTTCTTTACTTCACACAAAACAATTTAAAATCTATAAGAAAATAAAATAAGAAATAATTATAAAATTATAATACTTACTTTTTTGAGCTAAATAAATAAGTAAAAGTTAATAAAAATCAAGGAAATCTTCAACTATTACTTACATCTTTAGCTTATAATTAAATTAAAACTCAAAACTCGAAATCAAAATCAAATCACAACAACAAAAGATTTATTCAATAAAATTTGTTGGCTTTCGCTCTCTCTTCTCTCTCTCTCTCTCACTTTCTCTGTTTCTCTTAGAACATAAAATTTGGTCTAGAACAACGTAAAAAGTAATTGCAATAATATATATTATACATAATATATAATATAATAATAAAAATAAAACATGTAAACACAATAATAATAAGGCTTGGGTGGGGGGGGGGATAAACACAATAGCAATTAATAACATAAAAATTTGCAATTTTTTCAAGCACACCCGAGGAGATTATATGACTAAGATCAAGACTAAGACCAAGACTAAGACTTAAACTAAGGCTGTAACTAAGACTAAAGGCTTAGATTAAGGGCTAAGCTATTATGGGCATTCTCAATGCTAAATTGACTACTTTTGAGGTTTTTTTTTTGTTTGTTTTTCTTTTCAAATTCGCAAAATTTGCACCAAAAATCTGAATCCCTGTGCTGCTGTAAAATAAAAACAAACTTAAACTCTGACTACATATGATTAATATTTGGTTTGTGTTGCTGTTGCTGCTGCTAAGATCCTCTACTAACTATTTAATACTAACTAACTAAAAGTTTAAACAATTCTTTTTAGGAACAAATTATATATGATTTCTGCTTTTAGTTTTCTTTTTCTTAGTTTTTGGTTTCAATTATCAACAAATTGGTTTCGATTTGGTGTGGTCCTTTCCTTTGCCCTAAATTCTTTTTCAATTTATGTTTCTATTTTTCTAAATAAACCTTTTTTTTGGCATTTAATCTAAGCTTAAAATGGCAAGTGTGCTTCTTTTTTTCCTTATATTTTCTTCTCTCTGACTAGATTCGAGATGTGGCTTCTTTTTTTAATTATTGTTATATTTTTTGGTGGGAGTTCTACTCCTGGTGCTCTTGCTTGATGCTTTTGGAGGGCAGCTGCAGCTGCACATTGATCAAGCTGTCGCTGTTTACGCAGCGTATAGAGGCGGAGGCAGCGGATGAGCCAGATGCCTCGCCGGCTTTGGTTTGGACTTTCAATTTGCCCTGCTTTTTGCGCTTTTGAACCATCAACAAGCCTGCTGCTCCGCCTGTGTCATTAACCGCCATCCTTCGCGAGGATCTGGTAGTGCTGGGGAGAGGTTGAGCAGCGGCTGGAGTGGCCAGCACTATGGGCAAAGGCATCTTAATGCTATTATTATTATTATTATTGTTTGTGAGGCTGCTATTATTATTACTACTACTATTATTATTATTATTATTATTATTGTTATTAGAGGTGGCAGAGCTAGCTGCTGCTAGGTAGTAACGACCCCCCGTAGTGGTTGCCTGTTGGCTACGCCGACTCAACACTGCCGCAGTGCCGGCACTGATCAGGGAATAACACTGAACACCGGCAGACAGGCCCGTAGAGGAGGGACTGGTTGTGCCACGCGTGGCTGTTGTATCTACCTGCATGGGGGCCAGGCAAACGGTGCCATCGCTATTTGTTTGTATTGTCTGCATATTGGCCATCACCGACTGGTACATGGAGACGGGCACCGAGATCACATTGCTGACCGACACGGGATAGCCTGGGAAGAGAGTAGAATTTTAGATTTAAAGAAAATCTTCATTAGCTTTCACTCTCTCTCGCTCTCTCTCACCTTGACCATCCTCGGTGGTGATGAATATCTGGCCATCCTGGGTCTCGGTGAGATCCACGGTCATGTTCTCATGGCCATTGACATCGGTGAGACTCTGCACGGTCTGAATGGTGGCACCACCCTCGCCCTGATGAAGCTGTTTAATTTATAATTTATACAATTTATTAATTAAATTTGAATTCAAAGAAAAAAAACAAAGCTCAAACTTACCGTGGCTACACCCTGCACCTGGGCTGTGGTTCCGTCGGGCAGCGTGATGATGGGATTATTGGGATCCACTTGGATTAGGGACACGGTGCCATCAGCATTTTGTGACAGAACCGTTTGCGTGGTGTACTGTGGGTTGTACAAATTAATTAATATTTTTGTATAAAATAATATAAAATTATTAATTAATATCAAGGGAAAACACAAAAATAATTGGGTAGAAAGAAAGCAACGAATATTACAAAAATAAAGCATAATGCCAAGCAAAAAATATATAAATTAATTAATAAACTTAAACAAACAAATTAGTAATTTTCGTTTTTAGTTTTTTCTCTTTTTTTTTTGATATTTTTTTTTTTTTTGTGTCTTAAAGCGTATTTACATGTGAGAACGAGTGTTTGTGCGGGATGTGGATGCAAATAATGATGAGTAAACCAATAATTCGACGACTTGCACTTGCACAATAACAACAATTAGCTGAAAAAGACAAAAAAAAAGGCATACAAAAAAATAAAACAAAAAAGTGTCAAAGAAATTAATAAAATCTTAAATTATATAAAGCATAAAATACATTTTTTGCTGTAACTTAAAAAATAATTATAACATGTGTAGGAACAACAATAACATTTAGATTTTTTTTTAAATCAAAATTTGAGCCAACAAAAAAATGCGGCAAAAAAGAAAAAGGATACAGGAACGAGAGAGATAGATAGAGAGAGGCAGAGAATTGAAATATGCACAAGGGATTTGCAAAGAAACCTAAATTTGTTTCTTATTTTTACCCCCTTTAACAATTTCTGTAAACATTTTCCAGGCTTTTAGAGTTTGTAGAATATTTTCTTTACATACTAGAAACGGTTTTAAGCAAAAGATTAAAATTTAAAGTATAAGATGTATAACGGAGGAAACATTTCTGAAAATTCTTCGTAAAAGAAAGTTTGCGAAGCAAAATCCTATAGCCTTAGGCATCTTATTATTATACTCTTTAAGGATATTCTTATTTAAATATTAAAAAATGAATTTAAGCAAAAGACAATATAAAGTATAAGATGTATAACGCCGCAAACAATTCTACAAATTCTTCTAACAAACAAGTCTGCGAAACAAAATCATATGACCTTAGGCTTCTTATTATTAAAAAACATTCAGGAAACCCCCTTTAAACCCAAAGTCTAAGCAAAATCCCAGTGCATTGTACAACAAATCCCTGCCCCATTTCCCATCCCCTTCTCAATCCCAATCCAGGCTCGATTAGTGGCAGTTCAGTCGGATTAGTACGAACATCAACGTCGCTCAGCGTTATGGGCTCGATGCAGACTTGGGCGTTGGCTATCTGCTGGGCAGTGACCGTCTGCTGGGCATTCGATTGGGCGGCGGCTGCTGCTTGGGCGGCTGCGGCCGCTGCCGCTTGTGCGGCACTTACGGCAGCAGCTGTCGTCGGCACCGCCGTAGCTGTGGCTGTTCCACTGGCCGTGGTCAATTGTATGGTCTGCGGCTGACCGCCGCTCACTGGCTGTATATGAACGGTGCTGGGTACATTGGTCTGATGGTGTTGCTGGTGATGGTGTTGCTGCTGCTGGTGGTGCTGCTGCTGCTGTTGCTGGTGATGCTGCTGCTGCTGTTGTTGTTGTTGCTGCGGGGCAGGAGCCTGGCAGATCTCAATCTTTGTGGAGGCGGGCAACGTGGCGGTTGTGGTCACGTGCTGGTTATTGGTACTCTGGATGATCGTTGGAGCAGGCGTATTGCTCTGGGCCGTGTGCGTGGTGATCACAGTGCCGGCGCTATTGATCTTCACCACATTCACCTGCTGCGGTTGCTGTTTTGATGATTTGGTGTAGATTTTTGGTATGTTGGATTAGTCGATGATAAATGGTTTTTTTTTTCCGTGTGAAAGTAACCGGGGGATTAGTGGTGTGTGGATTAGTAAGAATGTATGACATGGGGGCGGGAAGGGGGTTAGTTTATCCCAAAATGTGGACACAAAAATGTGGGATAGAGTGCTTGTATAGTCTAGGTTATAAATTCAGGATGCTTTATCTTAGGGTTCCTTGTTTAAAGATCTCTTTTGTAGCGCATTCACTCATGTATCTAGTACCCTTAACCCTCTGGAATTGTGAATAATGGGACCAACAGGGTTAAACATGCATTCTTTCACAATAATAACCCAATTTACAGGTTCAAAGAACCCTTTCCCTAGAGCATACACACTTCACTCTTGTATTTAAAACATTTCAATATCCTTTTTTTGTTCATTACCCCACCCAAAACCCTTTTTAAACTCACATTGCTATTGCCTGTTGGTGGTGTCATTGTAGTCACCGTGTGTATGGTCGGCGGATTGGACAGCTCCATATCCTCATCCTCATCGCCCGACTGCGAAATGAGAGCATTAACCTTGTCCTCGTCGTCGGCAAAGGTGGGCAGCAGGTCCTCCCTGCCATGGTACTTGTAGCAGTTGATCACGATCTTGCGCAGAGCATGCGTCCAACTGATCTAAAGGTCAAAAATAGAGAGAATTAGTACAATTCGCTAGAGATTGGGGGCGGTTGTTGGAACACCCACCCCACCCACCTTCTGCTTGTCGTCCTCGGAGCGTGCATCCATCCGTACATTCGCCCATGGCAGCTCCTTGGGCCACCAGGGCGGACGGGTCGATTCACGGCCCCAGCCGGGCTTCCCCCTGCCGGTGGAGTACTTGAGCATCAGCGGGATAAAGGCTCGCAACTGTGCCTGTGTCATCTTCTCCACGGGCGTTGGTATACCATCGATAACGAGGCCCGGCAGTTCGAAGAGCGACGGATCATCCTGTGGCGGCGGTGGCGCCTGCTGTGCCAACGCATTGTCCAATTCATCCATGACGATATTCTTTAGATTCCTCAGCACATCCTCAAGCGGCTTGGCCCCGAAAACCTTGTAGCTGGTGTTGGGTTTTCCAGGCGTTGCCACCAACACCACAGCCTGCTTGCCCACCCGCCCCGTAAACTCGTAGATAATCCCACGCAGCTTGCGAAGCAGCCGATTCTGTTGCCTCTTTCGCACCGAGGGATTCGTTTCGAAACAGTGCGGCCTCTTGCGCTTCTTGGAGCTGGCTATGGCCGCCGCTGCGGCCACACCCACGGGTCCTGCGGCGGCCAACTGATGGGCCACATCATCGTTGACGGGTATGGAGCCGAGATCACCCTCATACAGGCTGCCATCGCTGCTAATCAGATCCTCGTCATCGTCATCCGAGCCCAGACTTTGGATATCCTCGTCCAACATCTCAATCTTGTAGGTGGTTCCGTTGCTCTGGGAACTATTGCCGCCACTTTGCACCTGATTGCCGCCACCACCACCGCCTCCACCGGTCGTTGTGATGGTGGTTACGTTGAGGCCACCGGTGGCGCTGCCGGAATTGCTGCTGCCCGCATTTCCGCTCGAATTGCTGCCCGAGGAGGCATTGTTGGTAGTAGTGGTGGTGACCACCACATTGCCCGCCGTTCCACGCTGGCTGCCCGCCGGCGCTACGACGAGCCTATAGCTTGTGGTGGCCAGTTTTTCGGCTCCTGGCTCTGGGGTAGAGAGAGAGTGAGAGTGAGAGACAGAGGATCGCCTTCAGTCCCTTACTGGCGATGGGCGGGCGGCGGTCCTATTCGCATGCGCAGTGTGATAAGAGCTGTCTGGAGAGAGGAAGGAAAGAGAAGGCAAGGAATGCCAGCCATTAGTTTGGAATTCATTTTTCAGTATGTTCAAGTGTTTGGCTGGTTCCCCTGCCCGTTGATAGCGAACTAATTATACGCCACAGCGGCGGGAATAACATGTGGAGGCACACTTTGGCACTAAATATACCCTGTAGTTATGACTTAAGGGGGGTTAAGTGGGTTTAAATGGATTAATTTGATTATTTTTAAATATTAATACTTATTTATATACAAAGTTAATTGAGGCAGAGGTTCAAAAAAAATTAGCTTTCTATAATTTTCCTAAGCTTAATAAAAGAAAAAAAAAACAGATATTTCTTAAAAACAAGAAAGGAAGCTAACTTCGGCACGCCGAAGTTTGTATACCCTTGCAGATATTATTTCATTAAATTTTACCTATTCTTATTGTTTAGAGTTTGACAGTTACAGTTTTACATTCCCAGTTTTACATTTTCTCTACATCTACCGATCGGTTTATATGGCAGCTATATGATATAGTTGTCCGATTTTCATAAAATTTATACCAAAATTCTGAACTAATAAAATGCGCTTATATCTTAGAGTAGATAAAAATAGGTTGAAAAACAACGAAGTTATAATGTTTTTTCTATCAATTTCCCGATCGTTCCTATGGCTATAAGATATAGTCGTCCGATTTTCATGAAATTTTTACCAAAATTCTGAAATAATATAAAATTGCCATATCTAAAAAATGGTGCAAAAATGTTGATAAACAGCCAAGTTATAATTTTTTTTCCAAAAATTTATCGATCATTTGTATGGGAGCTATATGATATAGTCGTCCGATCCGGCCCGTTCCGACATATATAGCAGTGAGAGTATATAGAAGACTATATGCAAAGTTTCATTCAGATAGCTTTAAAACTGAGAGACTAGTTTGCGTAGAAACGGACAGACGGGCAGACGGACGGACACGCGGACATGGCTAGATCGACTCGGCTGTTGATGCTGATCAAGAATATATATATTTTATAGGGTCGGAAAGGTCTCCTTCACTGCGTTGCAAACTTCTGACTGAAATTATAATACCCTGCAAGGGTATAATAATATTCTATCTCTAGTTTCTATGAAACTATAATAACATAATAAGTTTCCTCTACTTTTTCTAAAATTAATAGAATCGAATAGAGATCTCTAGAAAATCATATTCTGTCTTTAGTTTCTTTGAAGCTAAAACTCTAAAAATAAAAATATTCCCTAAAGTTAATAGTTTCTAAAATATTTTTCCAGGAAATGTTCCTAAAACTTTAAAACCAATATACCCCTTTTATAATACAGGGTATCTGTGGTTCGCTACAGAATTCGGATCGCTCTTTTTTTCCGAGCTGATAAGGGCAAGTGAATCAGGTCAAAAGCGCGCATGCGCAACACCGCAACAACAACAGCTGTGACAACGAGAATAATAGAAGCACAAAGCAAACAATTTAGTGTTTTATAACACACTACCAATATATGTATATATATGTGCATATCGTGTATATAACCACGCCATATTCACCGAGGTACACATATGCACAACTGTTTGTAATTCGAGCGGGCGGCCGGCCCACAGTCTTAGATTAGCGGCGACGTTGTAGGGTTCGGATCGGTGGGGATCCGTCCATAAGGTTCAGGCAATGATAAACCTGAGCCATACATATATGTATGTACATATATAGGGGTGCAAGGTACGCGGACAGAGCGGTGTATGTGGCACAGGTAGCTCAAAAAAAAAAAAAAAAAAAGAAGTAGAAGGAGGAGACTTTCAGTTGATAAAGTTGAATATCGACCCTGAGACTTGATCCAAAACATATGGAGCATTACGTCTTGTTATTTATTTTATTTTCCTTTTCGCTAAAGCTTTTGAAGTATCTGTTTCTCGATATAAGCACCTGGAAGAATTGCAACGCTTTGAATTCTTCTGTGAATTATTAAAAAGAATTAGTAGAATATTTAAGAAGAAAATATTTCTCTTTATTATCTATAAAGCTTGTGAAGTATCTGTTCTTCGAAGACTTGAAAAGCTCTTTTCCAGTTCAATTCTTTTATGAAGAAAATAATTTAATAAAACATGAAAACTCAGAAAGAAGATTTAGGTCTTAAATAAGACCAGAAGAATCTGAAAATACCTAATTTATATTTAATGATCCTAGTTTGATCATATTTCGTATCAATACATTGCCAAAACTCTCTGTCTCTCTCTCTCTCTGACAGTGTGAGTGCATTCCCCCCATTCTTCTACGTTCTCTCTTCTCCAGTGCGCAGAATCCCCAAGCATCTTCTGCTACCTCTCTTTCTGCTCCCATGGCATTGGTCCTCTCTTGGGGGGCCGCCGCTGCACGTGCGCAATGCTAAAGTTTCGAATATTTTCTACTCACTAAGCAGTATCTGTGACTTACACAAAAAGTAAAGTACTCGTAAATTTTGATAAATTGTCTTTTTGATTTATTATTGCTTGCCTCGGCGATTAGCAGTTTGCTTTTGGTTTATGATACTTGTTTGTAATATCTTAATTACTGCTTGTTTTTTTTTTTTTTTAACACACACACTTTTTGGCACAGAAAATAAAATAAATTAAGTAAAATGTATGCCGGTTTTTTTTGTGTCGGAGAGTATTGAATCGACAATTTGAGTTTCCGGGAGCCGAGCGAATCGAACGAACCACACCGCACCGCTTGTTGTGGCTCTCTGAATTTTGGAAGTGGACGTGGATGTGGTTGTGGATGTGTGTGGTTCTGTGGTGCCTTCTCTGTGCGCTCGCTCAAGTTCTATTTGCGTTTGCTCAGAAACTCGGAAAGCAACGACGGCAACGCAGCGGCGACGAGCTGCGAGCGGGACAGAGATGGCCAGAACGAGACTGCGCCGCCAGTGAGAGAGAGTGACAGCGACAGAGAGAGAGAGGGGGCGAGAAAACCACCCCATGGAGTGATTGCGACAAAGCAGCAACGTCGACGCAGTGAAAAATCAATACTGCGCCCATGCGTCGACATCGCACCGCAGGTCTCTTTCTCTCTCTCTTTCCCTATCTCTGTCACTTTCGCCCCCTGTGTATGTGTGTATGTATTTAAATTTTCCGACAAAAACCCTCTGAAAAAAATGCTTAGTAAGCTGTAAATATCGAAGAGGCTACACTCGCGGCTCAAAAGTAAGAGAAGTTTAACTGAGACTGAAACAGTCACAGAGAGAGAAAGTGCACACCCACCCTTAAGGTGGAAAAATCACCACCTTTGTGAGTGGCACACACACGATAACTAACAAATTTATGCCGTGATAGCGCTCTGCTCACTGCTTATCCTACCTTAAAAAACCACCCCCACCCCCACCCTACTGAACCTTAACCATATGGCCACGCATGCACTGCTCGCTCACCTCCCAACCCAACAACAACAACAACACAAAGCTGTTCGCCCCGGAGTCAGTGTCAGTGTTGCCACCCCTGGAAGAGCACAAGTGGGGAAGGCAACACCACCCCCGTACATTTAGGGGTTGTTGTTGTGTTAGTAAGTAAGCTCGTTTCACTTGCGCGTGCCAAACACGCTGTCAACGACAGTCACGGGTCGAGAGAGAGTGGAAACTGGGATAAAATCGGTATAGACTATAGCAACCTGATTTTATAAATCATCCCTTTGAAACATACTTGGTGTTGTTAAGGAAGGGGGATCTTTCTTTTGTTGCCTAGCAAAGGGAAGTGCCCTTAATGGTGACTTTTTATTTTTTGTTTTTGGATTAAAATATTCATTATTATTCAGGGTGGAGTAACACTGTATATAAATTAGATAAATTAAGGGGATTGTTAGATATTCCAAGTTATGGGAAATGATAGAGCATTTGGTTTAAAATAAAACCAAGTAAACCAGGAAATGGTTAATGCCCTGGACTATGCGCAGTGGGAATACAAATACTTAGCATGCGTACTTATTTGCATGGCCAGGAGTGTGGTTAGCCCCACCAGTGTGTGTGGTATCTCTTTTCTTTGCGGGGTTGCGTGCGCAGTACTGCGCCGAGTGCCCTGAGATGCATGCTATAAGCTCATGTCAAGGCAACTCACGCAGATACACACACATACATACACACAACTTTTGAGTTGGAGGTGCCTAGGGCGGCGAAAAGCCAAGACATTTCAAGGAAATAATTAAAAGTATACAAACTAATGATATAATGGAGTCTGTCCGATTTAAAAATATTTATAAATTGTTTCTATTTAGATCAACTATGTATTTTTTAAGAATTTCTGCCACAAATGAAAAATTTCATTAGAGCTTTTCAAATTTCATGGGGTTACACTGGACGATTGCGCAAATGATACCGTTACAGCCCGCTACTGCTGCTTTTGCTGTTTTTTTTTCGTGGGAGAAATGCTATTTTTTGTGATCTGTGTATCTATTTTAAGAAACACAGGCACAAAACCAGAGAGAGAGGAGAGGAGAAAGAGCGTTTGAAAAGACTTAGAACAGAGAGAGCATCTTTGTTTTTTGTTTTTTTTTTTCACTTGCGGTTTCGTGTGAGTGCGAGTTAGTGGGTGTGCATGCGCCCACCGCCTGCACTCGCTGCAACAAACTCCCACTGCGTCAGCGCACACACAAACACACGAACAAGCACACATGCGCCCAATCACCCACCCACTCCCCCTGCAATCAGTGGCTGCGACGCATGCTGGAATCGAATCAGAATCAAAATCAGACAGGGAATGGGATATGTGGGAATCAGTGCGGCTGGCTGTAGCACAGTGGGTGTACTGTGATTATCGTGGGTACGACATGTACGACTAATTATAGTTGTTTTATCATTGTACAAAATTACCAATAATTACTGCACTTAAGGCAACAACATTTCTTAATCGTTATAATTAAATCAAAAATTGTAGTACTAATTATTCAGGGATTAAATCTTGAATTGTAATTAAT